GTTTGGTCCTTTCACAATAAAGATGGCTACTTGGAGCTCAAAGTGCCATCACCAAAGGCTCTCACAACACTACTACAAAGTCAGCACCTAGACTTCACCAAAACAGTGGCCACAACCCAGAAACAAGGTAAACACACCCCCAATGGTAACCTCACTCACACAAAGTGTTTAGGAGAAGATTTCACGAAGGAAATGGCCACTTGGCTCAAGAAATGGAGAAGGGAAGGCAACGGAGCAGTGGGAGAATGCTGGTCAGCCTCCAAGTCACGTATTCTGAGTGTATGGCCTAGGGTTTTGGGCCAAAAATGCATATATATAGAGGTTCAAGTCTAAAACGCACAGTATTAGTGTTAATAGCTACGCTTAGCATTTTAATCCCCAACTTAGGATTCTGAACCTACTCATTTTTCTAAGATTTATCATATTTTTATTTTATTTTTCGTACCACCTTTTCGGTATGCGCTTTTCCACAGCCAGTATCAGTTCTGGCACCAGTTCTCATTATTTTAACTTGAAACATGAAATCACAGTCCTACATATTATTCTAGGAATATTCATGCACTTATTATAATTTTTTGGGATACTTCATCGGTACACATTTATACCGAGTAGCGAAACCGGTATCTGCACTTTTCGTCAGAAAAGTGACTTTAAGCTTTATTAAACACTTACCATAATTATTTAAGCTTCATAATAATTATTAGGGTCAATTATGAAATTATTTCTTAATTTCTCATAATTAATGATTAACTTATTTAACGATGCGGGTTCTTACAGTCACCTTCTTCAAATTCTAACGGTCCGTGTCTATTATCATAATAGCTTTTCTGTCAATTCTGTGCCTGTTTAAGTTTTTTTCTGATTATTTCAATCTGCACTGTAGTCTCCTACACAAAATTCGGACCAAATCTTTCTTTGTCACTTACCTCAGTCCAACAAGTAGGATATAACACCTCGTACTTCTAAAACATATATTTATATATTAAATATGGATTAAAATGTAGGATTAGTGAAAATTCTGAAATTCAGGTTAAAATACAAAGGAAGGTTAAAACGGTAATTAGCCAAATATGTAACCCTAGGAAAGTGAAATTGAGTAGAAGGTCTCAAATTGGAAAACTAACCCTAAAAAGGGATTCAGAACAAAAAAAATGAGTGGTTAGGCAAGTTTCTAGAAAATTGATGAATAATATTTTTACCGGGTAAAAATATCGCGGTACAATAGCACTGTAAAGCGCGCTGAGTGAATTTTGAGCTCTAGATTTGGATATAAGTTATAAATGGTACATAAGACAGGGAAATATGATTTCTGGTGAAAATTGATGAAAATTAGAGTGTTTGGGGTAAGCGTGCCCAGAGCGCGCATAACAGCCTAAAACTATGATTTCTCCGAACGACCGGAAAACTCCGGATTCATTTGATCAAGGGCAATTAAAGGACAATGGTTAATGTTAAAAATTAGAGTTTCTAAATAGTTTAGAAAATTACGGACGTTTAGTGGAATAGGCGGGAGATTTGAATTAATTTAAATCGCGTGAGGTGGCGGTGGGACCCACCCCACTTAAATGACAATATGACAACACCTCCATATCACTATTTAGTCATCTTCCTCCCTCTTCTCTCTCCAAAACCCGCGGACCACCCCCTCCATGGCCATTTCCTTTGAATTTTTCTCCTTCTCCAAACTCACTCAATACTAACTCAAATCGAACAAAGTTTGTCATCAAACTTTAAGTAGAGAACCTTCCAAACACAACCATAGTGTTCTTGGGGCGTGAAACTCACTAAATTTGGAGAAATTCCACATCTAAAACCGCGGCCAAAGTGGTAGATTTGGTGTTCTTGAGTTGTTTGTTCAAGCTTTTGATTGGGTATCACTTGGAGGAGTCCTAGGCCAAGCTTGTGGGTAAGTTTCAACACATTTCATTGGTTGAATCATGAATTTGAAATTTGGTGATCTAGGGTTGGTTTGTAGGAATTGATGTTGTTAGAGAGCTCAAATTGAAATTGTGTATTAGATGAAAGGGGCTTAGAATGATGTTTTAGAGTGATAGAAACTATAAAAATTATTGATGAATTATTTGGTAACTTAGGCAATTTTGGAACTGATGATTCATGACTTAGTTGTAGGATTGTGTAATTGAGTTGTGGTGTATTTGTATGAGTTAATAATGAGATTGTATTATGTGTGGAAGTGTTGAATTGGATTGAATACCCTGTGGTTGGAGAGCATGAACAATTCGGCCTATAGAGAGCATGTATGGTTTGATGTTGTAAAATTATGTAATTGATGTGGTGTGGTAGTGAATGATGTTTCAATGAGTTTTATGTTGGTGTGGTGAAGTGGAATTGGAAGGAAAAATATTGAGTGTGTGTGTGAGTATGCATTCGGCCAATTATAGGAGAATTATGAAAATTGGGGCTTGAATGGTTTTAAGTTAACTTGAGGACTTGAATTAGTGTAGGCCTTTCTAGTGGTACCAATCTCGGTGACATATTTAATTGGAGCTATCAAGCAAGAAGGATTAATCAGGTAATTTCTTGGTACTGGTGTTTGATCCCCGTGTGTGCTTGATAAACCCTTGATTTACCATGGTTTTAGGCTTAATTATACTTAAAATATATCATGAATTGCATGGAAATCAGGCTTTTATACCGTGAAGTCACAATAATTAAATATCTTGCTAACATGTTGTCATATTTCTTATTTCAAAGGATACTTGACATCTATTATGGCCCTTTGGAACCAAAAGAAAGCAACAAGAGGAGTTGAAGCCTCAAGGACGCAAGATTCCAAGCATCTGCAAGTTGGAGGAGGACGTTTTGGAGTCCAAAAAGAACATTTAAACGCTCTAAATGATGAAAACCACAATAACTCCCTGGACCAGAGCGTTTTGGCGGCCAAACAGAGCGCCAAAACGCTCCAGAAGCAACCAGAAACCCTTCGAAGAGGACGTTTTGGCGCCCAACAGCACGCCAAAACGCCCATAGGCAGTCAGTAATGCACTGTGAGAACGTTTTAGCGCACAAACAACATGCTAAAACGTCCATGCACGGCCAAATCTAAATCCAAAAGAGATCTTATATCTTTATCAAGATATGCATCAGATTTTACAAAAAATACAAAGTGGAAACAAATCAATCTTGATTGAGAATAGATATAAATCCATGGGAAGATATGATGGAAGATCACAACAAAGATTCAAAGCTCAAATCTGTCAACCAATCTTCAAGATCTTAAATGCAAAGAGGAAACAATTGTAGAATCAATTATAAATCTGATACAGATTCATTGGGAGATTGAATGAAGGATACAACTCCAATGATTATAAATAAGGAACTGAGGGTTAAGACCAAAACATCAATTCACAAGTCCAGAGAATTACATAGAGACCTGAAGGAGGAATCCTGTTGCAGAGCGCTGGAACACTGAGGAACCAAGTCAACATCACACCAATGGAGGCTTGGGGTTCTCTTTTCTTTACTATTGTTTTTCAATTCAGTATGCTAGGCTAGATTTTTATGTAGTTAGGGATAGATGGAACCCAATTGAATCTTTATGTTTATGAATTAAATTGTCTCTGAATTCTTTTCTTTTTATAATTGAATAAATTTATCTGTCTTTAATGCTTTCTATGAGTTTGCTCCTTATAGAATGATTTTGGGGAATTGTATGACAATATGGATGTTGGCGCATGAACCCTGACTTGGTAAATTATCATAATCCTTAGGAATAGGCATAGGGTAATTATGCAATCTTGAAATTCTTGATCTTAATACATGTTTTCTTGGGGAATAACCGGGGAACTAGGGTTCTTCTGAGATCACATAGATTTAGGGTAACAAGGAATTGAGCCCTAATTAACTTAGATAGAATTGATTGGCAATATATTAAGAACAAGTTCTTGACTCTTTAATTCATAACATAACGAGGATATTGGGGGAAGTCGAAACCCTAACTACGCTTGTTTTTACATTTTTAATCAATCATCATCTTTGTCTTTTTAATTCTGAATTTTCTTTAATTGAATGTTATTACTTATTTTTAATTTTTAAGTTCTTCAATTAGAATTCTCTCAAATCCAACTTTTGATTGTCCAACTAAAACGCGATTAGCGAACTAGTGCTTGAAATTCCAATCCTCGTGGGAATGATCTCGTACTCCGGTACACTTTATTACTTTAGGACCGGTGCACTTGCCGAGTTGCAACAAGTTTTTGGCGCCGTTGCCGGGGATCGAATTCTTCAACATTAAAAGTAACTAATTACCTTTTAGATTGGACCTTTTTTTTCTGCGCTTTAAACATTCTTCAAAAATATTTTCTTCATAAAAAAATTCCGCATCAATTTTCTGCATATTTTAATTTTCTGCATTCTTTGTTTATTTTTATTTTTATTTTATTTTTCTGTTTTCATTTTTTTTTTTGCACTTTCTATTTTTTCTGCACATCTTTTCAATCTTAGTTTATGCGAGGTACTCTTAACCCTCGAATCTTGCAGTTTGATCCTAAGATAGAAAAGACAGAAAGGAAACTTAGGAAGGACGCAAAAGCAAAGAAAGCGAAAGAAGCAAAAGAAAATTCAAGTTCAACAGAACCTAAGGAGGAACCAATGGCAAAAAACAATCAACTCGCTCCAAGGACCTTGGGAGATTATATGATCTAGCCCGAGTTCCACAAACGGCGAGCATTGTTAGACCGACCATAGAAGCTAACAACTTCGACCTAAAGTCGGCACTGCTGCAACTAATTCAAAAAGACCAGTTCGCTGGAGGAAGCGCAGAGAACCCGTATAGTCATCTTGATGATTTCTTACTTTACTGTGACACATTAAAAGTGAATGGAGTTTCTCGTGACGCTATCTTACTCATATTATTTCCGTGCTCACTGAAGGATGATGCAAGAGCTTGGCTGCAGTCTCAACCTAAAGGAAGCATAACCAGTTGGGATGACTTAGCAAGGAAATTCCTGGCCAGATTTTTCTCAGCTTCAAAGATGGCAAGACTCAAAGCGGAAATCACCTCTTTTGAACAAAAAGAAAGAGAAACTCTGTACGAGGCTTGGGAACGATTCGAAGGATTACTCAGGAAGTGTCCTCAAAAGCATGGGAGAAAGCAAGAATCTTTTTCCAAGGAATGACACCCAACACAAGAACACTGGTAAATGCTACTGCAGGGGGCTCCTTGAAAACAAAAACTCCAGAGGAAGCACTAGAATTGTTGGAATCCTTAGCTTCGCAAGAATTTGACAATTCCCCAGTTGCATAAAGGAGAGAAGGAATTATGAAGCTTGACGGCTATGATGCAATCTTAGCCCAAAATGAACAAATGTTGCAAATGCGCAAGAAACAACAAGAACAATTAGATGCTCTTACTAAACAATTTAATCATTCTCAATTTTCTTCTGTTAGTAATTCTCAAATTAAATATGGTATTTGTGCAGAGGCTCATGCGACGGAAGATTGTGACTACATGAGAACAACTGAAAAGCCATCAGCTGAGGCCAATGGAATCTGGTACGATCAGAAGAATCAGAATCAACATCCAGGGTTGAGTTACAAATCCAACCATCGGCTCAATCCTCCCATTCCAGTGCAACCACATACCCCACAACAAAGTAACACTTTTGAGTGGGAGAAAGCTTTTGCACAGCTGTGCAAGACCACTTCTGATTATATTCAAGGTGCAAATGCTTCAGAGAGGACACATCTACTTTCATGCAAGAGACTAGATCAGCACACCAGAATCAAGAAGATTCCATAAGAAATCTGGAAATTCAGATTGGCCAGTTGTCAAAGCAATTTTCTGAGAGAGCTCAGGGTACTTTTCCAAGCAACATAGTTGTCAATCCAAGGGAGCATTGCAATGCTATCACCACTAGGAGTGGGACAGTGATTCAGCCTATAGAGGAGCAGCCCAAAGAAAAGAAGAAGGATGGAGAAGCATCAGTTGAAGAAGAAAAGGAAGAAAAGGAAAAAGATACAATTGAAGTTGACAAAAGCAATCCTGAAAAAGTTGAAAGGAAATTATTTAAGTGGGAGAAGAAGAAAGCTTTAGAAAGGCAAGACAAGCCCTTAGATCTCTCCCCATATGCTCGAATCCCATATCCTCAGAGATTAAAGAAAGAGATTCAGAAGCAGCAATATTCAAAGTTTCTAGACATATTCAGAAGGTTGCAGATCAACATTCCTTTTGCCGAAGCTTTAGAGAACATGCCCAACTATGCAAGGTTCATGAAGGATCTATTATCAAGGAAGCGTAAGTTGCAGGAATGTGAGACGGTGAATCTGACGGAGGAATGTAATGCTATCATCCAAAAGAAGTTACCTACCAAAGTCAAGGATCCAGGGAGCTTCAGCATTCCATGCACTATAGGCAAAGTGGAAGTGGACAATGTTTTATGTGATCTTGGATCTAGCATCAATGTCATGCCACTCTCATGATAAAAAAGCTGAGGATTACTGAAGTGAAGCCCACAAAGACGATAGTGCAACTGGCTGACCGCTCTTCAAAGCAAGCTTATGGCATCATTGAAGATATATTGGTCAAGGTAGACAAATTCATCATTCCTGTTGATTTTGTAATCCTTGACATTGAAGAAGATGCCATAATTCCTATGATTTTTGGAAGACCCTTCTTGGCAACTCTAGGAGCACTGATTGATGTACTTAAATGTGAGTTGATCTTACGGGTAGACGGAGAGCAAGCAATTTTCAAATTCTTTGACAAAGAAGTCCCCTCATCCGTAGCTCAACCGGAAGATCAAGTCTACTATATTGGTGAAAAGAAAGGTGAAGAAGAACACAATGAGGAGTCTTCTCAAGAAAGTATGCCAAAAGTTGAGATGGAGAAGCCCAGGAGCAAGGGAAAACATATAAATTCCAAATTCAAAGTTCTTGAGGCTACTATATCTCACTTATATGCGCAAGAGCACTATGGTAGGACACAATTTATGAATGATGGAGCTTGGACATCACCAAGCTTATTCTTTGAGCCACCATGAAAGTAAATCAGGTACAGCAGGCTCGTGACGTTAAACAAGCGCTAATGGGTAGGCAAACCCACACTTTACTGTTTTATTTTAATTTCATTGTTTTAGTTAATTTTACTTTGAATTAAATAAAGAAAAATACAAAAATATAGGAGAAGGTGTTGAGACTAATGGCTATCATTGAGTGAATTTTACATATGAAGAAAAGGGAACAAACAACAAGAGAGAGCAACTAGTTGTTTTATTTCTCAACGTTTTTTCTTTTTAGATTTAAATCTATTGTTGAGGACAACAACATTTAAATCTGGGAATGGGGAACGCGCAGTTCATCTAAGCACAATGGATTAAGCTGGAGGAACTTCATGAGCACACACAGAATATCCGGCTAAAACAGGGAACTATCTCAAATCCTTTCTCCTTTTCTTTAGCTTAATTCTTTTTGAATTTAATTTTTAATTTTTAGTTGTTTTGAAAGTTCATCTAAGCACAATGGATTAAGCTGGAGGAACTTCATGAGCACACACAGAATATCCGGCTAAAACAGGGAACTATCTCAAATCCTTTCTCCTTTTCTTTAGCTTAATTCTTTTTGAATTTAATTTTTAATTTTTAGTTGTTTTGAAAAACCCCAAACCATTGTTTTTGTGAAAATTTTAAATTTTTCTGACTTAGTGCAAATAAATGGATAATTGGTAGGAATTTTAATCAGTAATTGATTCAGAGCATGATGATATACTCATATTTTTTTCATAATGAGCATCATTGCAATAAGTGACATGGTTCATCTAATCTTATCTTTAGTATTGAAGTTGTTTAATAAAACGAACAGGATAATTACTGAGCTTTCATAGCCGTGAGGTTTTGAGCCCATACAGAAAATTTTATTGAGTGTGCATTCTACTGTTGAGATACTCTAGAACTTGCTTTGTTTCTTGATTGAAATGGTCTGTGATATATTTTGTAGATATGATTGAGGCATGTTCTTTCTTTAAACTAGATGGCCAAATAGCCAACCATTGCTGATATTCCTTAGTTAAACCCCTTTGAGCCTAGGCCTGTTTATTCTTTGAAAACCTATAAAGATGAATAAGCCACTTTCCATATAAATCCTCACCTTATTTGAGATTAATTTTCAGATTTGAATTGAGGAAAATGTGTTAATTGTTGATGATATAAATTGTGATGTATGTAAGTACAGGGAAAAAGGAAAAAGACAAGGAAGTAAGGTTGGTTAGAAAGAAATAAAGAAAAGGAAAAATACTCAGAAAGCGAAAAAGAAAAGAAGTGAAAAGAAAGAAAGAAAAATTATTCTAAGAAAAGAAAACGACAAACAAGAGAAGAGTTCAAAAGAAAAAGTACAAGAATGGACTGAAAAGAAGAAAGAAAGTTGTTTACAAAATGTAAACGATTACATTTATTCCTCTTTGAATCTGAATTTTAATCTTGCAGCTCATTCTCTAAATTTTTCCTTCCCTTAGCCAGGCCAAGTTATAACCCTAAGAAAGACCTCTTGATCTGTGAGATATGTCACAATACTGTGGAGAGCGAGAATATAAGCAAGCCTATGGTAGTGTTGATTCAGTGGGATATAAGTGAAACACCAACCCTCTAAACAATTGAGTGTGAGTAAATTGAATTCCTAGTGAGGGAGAGTTTCAGGAAATTTTCCTTATTCTTAATCTTAAGAAATTTTGTTGCAGCTTTTAACTGATGAATTATGAATCTTGTTAATTGATGTATCATGCTTTTAAGTCTGAATGCTCTGCAATCATGTCTCTGATTGAATCTTTCCTATCAAATTCCATGCAAATGAAAGGTCCTGCTTGATTTCCAGTAAGTTTATTCTAGTTAATTGCTGAGGACAGCAATATTCAAATATGGGAATGGTTGATAAACCCTTGGTTTACCATGGTTTTAGGCTTAATTATACTTCAAATATATCATGAATTGCATGGAATTAGGGTTTTATACCGTGAAGCACAATAATTGAATATCTTCTTAACATGTTGTGATATTTCTTATTTCAAAGGATTTTTGACATCTATTATTGCCCTTTGGAACCAAAAGAAAGCAACAAAAGGAGTTGAAGCCTCAAGGAAGCAAGATTCCAAGCATCTGCAAGCTGGAGAAGGACGTTTTGGCATCAAAGAAGAACATTTAAACGCTCTAAATGAAGAAAACCACAATAACTCCCTGGACCAGAGCGTTTTGGATGCCAAATCGAGCGCCAAAACGCTCCAGAAGCAACCAGAAACCCTTCGAAGAGGACGTTTTGGCGCCCAACAGCACGCCAAAATGCCCATAGGCAGACAACAATGCACTATGAGAACGTTTTAGCGCACAAACAGCACGCAAAAACGTCCATGCACAGCCAAATCTAAATCCAAAAGAGATCTTATATCTTTATCAAGATATGCATCAGATTTTAAAAAAATACAAAGTGGAAACAAATCAATCTTGATTGAGAATAGATATAAATCCATGGGAAGATATGATGGAAGATCACAACAAAGATTCAAAGCTCAAATCTGTCAACCAATTTTCAAGTTCTTAAATGCAAAGAGGAAACAATTGTAGAATCAATTATAAATCTGATACAGATTCGTTGGGAGATTGAATGAAGGATACAACTCCAATGATTATAAATAAGGAGCTGAGGGTTAAGACCAAAACACCAATTCGCAAGTCTTGAGAATTTCATAGAGACCTGAAGTAGGAATCCTGTTGCGGAGCGCTGGAACACTGAGGAACCAAGGCAACATCACACCAATGGAGGCTTAGGGTTCTCTTTTCTTTACTATTGTTTTTCAATTCAGTATGCTAGGCTAGATTTTTATGTAGTTAGGGGTAGATGGAACCCAATTGAATCTTTATGTTTATGAATTAAATTGTCTCTGAATTGTTTTCCTTTTATAATTGAATAAATTTATCTGTCTTTAATGCTTGCTATGAGTTTGCTCCTTATAGAATGATTTTGGGGAATTGTATGACAATAGGGATGTTGGTGCATGAACCCTGACTTGGTAAATTATCACAATCCTTGTGATCTAGGAATAGGCATAGGGTAATTATGCAATCTTGGAATTCTTGATCTTAATGCATGTTTTCTTGGGAAA